CAGGGGTGCTCAGTTTTCTGCGATTAGAAAGTTGGCCACCCTAGAGCCACGGCTGAGCTAAAGGAGGGAGCTGCCGGGCTAGAGCTGGGACAGCGGGCGCCAGCCGTGCCACAGGTAACACTGGAGCCGAGTGCAGTGAGCAGCTGGGGAGACCAAGGGGGGCCCTGAGCAGAGGCCCAGCGCAGGGAGATGTCGCCAGACAAGAGACCTTGCAGGCCGGACTTGGAGCGGGAGCGATGCTGGGGAGAAGGGTCCTGACCCCTGGAGCCTGAGGGCATGTGGCCGCCAGAGCAGCATCTGACACATGTCACCGCAGTCCAACCAGGGCCTAGGAGGGAGGCTGGGATGTGTGAGGAACAGACTGAACTTCCCTTACATCCCAGAGACGGCAGTTGTGGTGCCCCGGTGCCCACAGGGCAGGGCTACTTGTTTCCTTTAACTCTCTTCCTTTTTTCCCTTATTTTTCTTACAACTGCTGTCTAATAAATTGTATTTGGCTTGAACTTAATGTAGAGATCAGTGGGTCAGGGAAGTGGCCGGTGCAGAGAGAGTAGCCTGGAGTGGGGCCGCTCTAGCCCCTTGTGACAGTGCTGCCCGTGGGAGCCAGCTGAGGTCACTCAATCAGGATGAACTGCAAACAAAACGGGGCAGACAAACCCCAAACGCTGGTGGTTATTCCAATACTTAGATTTACCAACCAGCACAAAACAGCTTCTATAGGACCTCACTGGTTACTCAGAGTCCAAACAACGCAGTTCCCTTAAAGCGCCCAGCCTCAGGCCTCCGTCCAGACACACCTGTCAGATATGATAATATTACTGAAAATCTTATCTCATCATATAAAAGAAAAGGTTCTTCCAACCCCAATGGATCAGCCACACACCCAGGTCCAATTATAACTTAGATCTTACCTAAAATACACGTTTATAGTCAATTCTTATTAACTAAACTAAAATTTATTAAAAAAGAGAGAAAGAGTTGGTTAAAAGATCAATATACAGACAGACTTGAATTCTTGAGGTTCAGGTACATGGCAGAGATGAGCTTGTAGTTGCCAAATGTCCTTTTAGAAATAGTCCAGAGGTTATAGTCCAATGTCCATATTCAGCGTGACTCCAGTCAGTGACTGGGGATCTCAATCCTTGTGGCTTAAGGTTTCCCCCTCTTGAAACCCAAAGCAGATCTGAGATGATGCAGGATCGTGTCCCAGGCTCTGGGAGTTCAGCTGAGCTGCCTCAGGGCCCAGGAAGAAGAGGTGAGCAGCGCCGGCAGTGCCGGCTTGCGTCCTCCACCAGACGGTCCCCCGATATCAGGACAAAGTGTGTCCCGACCAATGTAAGGTCGGGATGCTGGACAAGTCCCCTAAAATCGGGACTGTCCCGATAAAATCGGGACATCTGGTCACCCTAGGAGAAGCCCTCACTGGTTTCTCCACCAAGCAAAGGAGAGCTGCATTAACCCAGCTGGCAGGGGCCTGTAGGTTTAGAATGGCAGGAGCTGGCTTGTAGCCCTGGCACCCACAGCGTGCTACATCTGCCTGCAGCACAGGGATCTGTGATGCCCTGTCTGAGCCTGTAGGAACGGAGCTAAGCTGGTCTTGGTGCGCACCTTACAGCCAGGCTAAAAATGAACCAACATGGAGTGTCCAGGAGAGGGTAAGTCCTGACCGCTGGCTGCAGCCTCTGAAAGGGAATCAGGTCACTAAGCCAGGAGACACTCTGGGGATGAAGGGACTTCACCTGCAGCTGGGCTAATTATTAATTTCAACCCAGAAGAGAAAATCTAAATCATTTGTGGCTTGCTGGCCACCACATGTCCCCGGCTGATCTTCACCCCCCACCCCCCCCCATAGCCAGCCTGGGCAGCCTTTCCCCCAACAGACCCTCTCGGGATATTTTCTTCCCCTGATCACTGAGCCCTGAGGGCCCACATGATTTTCTTCTGCTGGAATCGGGTATCCTTTGTGCCTGTTGCAATGGGGCAGGTCATTAGCAGCCAACTAAACGAGCTGAGAAATACATGTGTGATTGCAGCCGGCGTCCCTCCCCTCTCAATCCCTGGCATAAATACAAGTCTGGCCCAGCGGTTGCAAGAGAGCAAGGCCTTTGAATGGTGTCCGTTGGGCTCTGTGTTAAAGCAGAAGCAGCAGAAGGTTTGGGGCATTCCAAGGAGACTGTAACACACCCCACATAAGGGGTTTCAGGTAAGGAGCTGCGTGTCCTGGGGAGATTTTATGTCAGGCCCAAGGGTATAAAGCTATTTATCTTACACTTCGAATAGCCCCCATATAATCGTCTCTGCAGTGAGAAGGAATCAGAGACATTTGTTATACACTGCTGCCATCTACTGGACATTGACAGAAGTGGCAGAGAAACAGAGTTCTGAAATCTGAGCCCCTTTGACAAGAGTCCTACCGCAAACCCTAAAACCTGAGCTCACCGTGTGGTATCCTGGAGTTCTGCTGAACCCACAAAAAGGCTGCGGACTGAGAAGTGCTGCTGGATACTTGACCCAGCTGCATGAAAGGCTCTTCCCTCTCCCTGGGTTACCGTGGTGAGGTTTATTTAAGCGACTGTATTTCTCCTTGTGTTCTTTAACAGAAGTAACTGGAAGGTCCCTTGCGGATGCTGCACTTTGGCTAGTAAGACCACAGGTAACCATATGCTGCATTTTAACTAAGCAATGCTATGTGCATGGTCCTCCTTTGTAAGACTATGTAGGTTGGCCTAAGAGAATTATCTCAGTGCTTTGGAGCCCCAGTCATGGGCTAGGACTCCATGGTGCTAGGGGCTGTACAAACATAGAACAAAAAGACAGCTCCTGCCCCAAGAAGCTTCCAGGCTTAAACAAGAGTATCCTGACTCCTTGGAGACCGACCTAAAGCACAATAAATGCACTGGAGATTCTAAAGAACTGGTAACTGGTGATGAGTAAATGTAATAAGAAATCTTGGTGATTCCTGTTGTTCTGTGTCACTGCTTGGCGTCAGTCCTGTCTGTGTCAGTCACTTACAAGATAGTATTGTATTTAGTACCCACCTTGTACCTCTGAACTCTGCACTTGATCTATAACACTGTAGATTAGAGACCTCTGTGGGCCTTTGTGAATTAATATATTTATTGACTGGCTAAGAACTGAGTGTTTTGGAAAGTGCGGTTCAAGGTACAAGTAGATCTGGAAAGATCCCGGTATTCACGTTAATAGCTAGTTCTCCCTGGCCTCAATATAAAGGGGTTACCCTAATTAAATCCCATTCCAATATTGGCTATACCACTGACCCGATTGGCAAATCTAGTTTGTTAGATTTCTAGTTTGTTAGAAATCTAACTGGCACATTGGCAAAGTCATAACATTGACCCCGCCCCTGCCCTGCCCTTCATTCTTCTATCAAACACAAGTTATTGGGTTAATATTGTGACACCATATCCCATATTCATCATGGGGGTATAATTATGATATGATTATGATACATGACTCCTCTTGTACACATTGCAAGGTGTCATTGGAAAAGTTATGATTTGCCAAATTTGATTATCCTATTTGTATGCATGTATCATTTTTGTATCTGAAGTTATGAATGTTAACTAGGTATCTGTATTTCAAATGTGCTTCCTTTGGAAAATACCCACAGCGGGCACAACAATGAAGAAGCCAGACAGTGCTAATGGCTCATCAGCAAAGACAAAGGGCTACAGAAGAATTTAGCCTTCCTGTGACAGCCAGCCAGTAAGTAATGGCTGCTACGACTCAGCAAGGACATGTGACCAGACCATGTGACACTGAACACCATTTTGGGTACCTGTATTTTTCCACAAACTGGGCTGGGAACAGTTTTTGGAACAAAGGGTTCCCCCTACATGTTAAAGCTCTATAAGGTGAAGTGTGACATCATCTAGTGGCCTCATTCCCCACACAAGGACACTCCTGGAAACACCTGAGGAACAAAGACTGAACTGGGGGAAGTGCTGATCCCAGGCTAAAAGGATTTCTACCCTGTGTATGGAAACCTGGTGGACTGCTTGTACCATCAGCCAGCGTGAGAAATTGCTAATTCATATCCAATCTTTCTGATATTTTAGGATTAGTTTGCAGTTTTGTTTATTTATTAGGTTATCTGCTTTGGTCTGTTTGCTGTCGCTTATAATCACTTACAATCTATCAGTTT